TTTCTGGCTTCTCTCTCCCAGCAGCCTCCAAAAACATGGTTCCAGAAGTCCATCTTCCACATATGTTCTTAAATGATAAACCCTAACATAGCATCACTTGAGTCTTTTGTCTCCCCAGCAAAGATTCCATGCATTCTTTTGTCTCTGAGTCTTTAAGGGTGGGAAGCCTGTGCAACCAGGGTTACACTGGCATGATTCCAAATTGATATCCGATATGATTAGACATTAAATCATAGCTCAATCAACATTATTTAGTGGTCTTGTTTTCCCACCACCTAAGATTAACTATTTTCATTTTTTGTTATCTGTCAATTTGGGCAGCTAGTAGCCCAGTAGATAGAGTACTGGGCCTGTAGTCGGGAAGATGCATCTTCCTGAATTCAAATCTGGCCTCAGACACTTCCCAGCTGTGTGAGCCTGGGCAAGTCACTTAACCCTGTTTGCCTCAGTTTCCTCATCTGTAAAATGAGCTGGAGAAGGGAAATGGCAAACCATTCCAGTATCTTTGCCAAGAAAACCTCAAATGAGGTTAGGAGGAGTCAGGCACAACTGAAACAACTGAACAACAACAAGAAATGTCAATCTGCACAGCGTGAGAGCATCAAAAGGCTGTTCAACAATAGTAGAATGAACTCAGTGTGTTTTAAACTGAACTCATTATCTTTTCCCCTAAACTCAACCCCCTTCTGAACGTTGCTACTATAGCCAAGGGCCCCACCATCCTTTCAGTCACTCTCAGGCTCATCCTCTCCTCCACACTTTCTTTCATCCCATACGTATACATACATACATACATATATCAGATAACTTGCCAAATCTTTCCATTTTTACCCCCCCCATCTTTTACTTGCACTATTTGGGCTAATATGGACTATTTGTGCCTGACTCGTGGTAGAGCCTTCAGAGCTTGTATTGATCTGATCAGCAATACTCTGACACACAGTACCTTGACCCCAACACAATGATGTCATTTTAGTCCTCTTCGAGAACAAAGGACAACCGCCACTACCACCACCACCACTTATGTTCGTTCTCTCCACCTGCAAAGGCACCACCCTAGTTCAGGCCTCATCACTCCTCTACGGGACTACTGTGATAGGCTTCCAATTCATCTCCCTACTCAAGTCTCTCCCCACTCCAATCCATCCTCCACAAAGATGTCTTAAGTGCACATTTGAACAGGTCACTCCCTGTTTAACAAACATCAGGGGTTCCCTATGTCTTTGAGGATCAAATATAAATTCCTCTCTGGCATTTAAAGCCCTTTACAAACCAGTCTTAACCTACCTTTCTTTCCTGCCTTATTACATATCATTCCCCTTCAAGCACTGTATATAGTTCAGTCAATCTGACCTTACTGTATCTCATACATGATATTCCATTACCTACTTTCGTGCCTTTGGAACTTCCTCAAGGTCATATCTTAGAAATTTCCTTCAAGACTCCTCTCCAGAGTCACTTTCATGAAGTTTCCTAATGCAGCCACCTCCTGGTGTCCTCTCTCCCAAATAACCTTGAATCTATTTCACATCTATTTTTAATTTACACAGAAATATGTACATGTTGTTTCTTTGGAAAGAATGTACCCTCCTTGAGGGCAAGAACTGTTTTACCTTTGTCTTTGAAACAAAGCACCTGGCACTTGGCACAAAGTAGGTGCTAATAAATATTTGTTCCTTGTTTGATTCTATGCTCCTTCCTGGTCACACAGGTCTATCATTACTCTCCTCAACATCCATTCACCCTCCATCTGCTGGTCTTTGATACAAAAGGCTCTCCTTCCACATAATCCTTGGCTACCTTTACCAATGAGAGACAAATAAGAGGAATGTGTCATCTTCAAGATCAATTAACTAGTATTTACTGAATGAATGAAAAATATTTTTAAGCCTTTCACTATGAGCAAAACATGAATAGAAAAGCAAAACAATCCCTAATTTCAAGCATGTCATATTCTAATAAGGAGAGACAACACATACTGAAGGTTTTAGTTACAAGTTAGATGGAAAGGCCCTGTGTTTCTTAAGGTGCAACAGCTTCTTAAATGTCATTTTCATTGAAAAAAATCATATTCATTTCTGATGCTGAACCAACTGCTAGTGCCAAAGACTTTCTTTTTCCAGGTCTATAGTAGCTCTATTTGCTATGGAGGGAAAGGATGCTGTGTCTGCATTGTCAGTAGTGAGGTCACATGTTTAAAACAAGGTTGCCTTCCTGAAAGATGGCTGCTGGGCCCAGCCAGGAAGCAGGGCTAGTGGTCTGGGGAAGTGCAGCTATGCTCGGGGCCCTCAGGCTTACCTTCTCATTGGTGGCAGTAGCAGACTTCATTTTCCCCAAGAGCTGTTCCTCTCTGATATGGCTGGGACTGGTAGTAGGAATGCTGGTCTAAGACAGTGTTTCTTAAAACTGTGGGTTGTGACCTCAACTCTGGCAACAGTAAAAACTTTCTGAATACTCAATGACCAAAAATTAATTCAGAATCAAACATGTAATGAGTCCAAGGTGTTTCTGGCAGTACCTGCCCACGTTGCATTGTGCAACTTCACTGCAGCCTTGGTTCTGAACACAAGACGCTTGCACTTTGCACTGCACATGCCCTCAGTTAACACCAACAAATGCTGCAGGGAAAAAAAAGGGTCATTAGTGGAAAAAAAGTTTAAGAAGTCGTGGTCTAAGAGGTGCTGTCTCCACTGGTATCTGAGGGGAGGTGGTGGTGGGCGCAAACTGCCTGGCATATACCACCACATCTCATCCTCAGTCCATTACGTTCTAGACGTTTGACTAGGTATAAGGAATGACAATATAAAAATAAGAAAGTCCTTGCCTTCGAGGTCCTTATATTTGGGAGCTTTGGTCTAGGGCAATCAGAGAGACTGTGAGTAGAGATACAAGGCAGTAGATTGTCATGCCCCTTCTACAAGCAACAGAAATATTAATTTGATTATTGTTCCCTGAGCAAGACAGGAAAAGGGAGGTGGGGTATACCCATGATGGTAAGACAAGTGACAAAACGCGCAAGCTGGCTAGGCCCTGGAATCTTGGATGGCTGCATGGGATGAAGTATGGTCTGGATGTCTGGGGCTATCTAGATATAGAGAGCTGAGGTAAGGACTACTTCCATGATCCTCAAATCTGGGCAGCACTGATTCAGGCAAAGTTTCAAAGCTGCGGGGAACCCCAAGAATTGGGGGGTCAGGAGAATCACCATTCCTAGCGGGAAGGGGCGGACAGCTGAGAGACAGAAGGCAAGATACATGCACTGGGTAGCTCCTGGTGTCCTAACAAACAACTGCATGGGATGAGAGAGCCTTTGGGTTTCTGTTACCTAGCAGACTGGTAAGATTATGAGGCCTGAGGAGAGAACATGGGAACATGGGACAATGTACAGGATATAGGCCACATTGTCTTCTGGAGCTTCCGCTAATAACTCACTACACCATGACTGAAGGGTTATGGGGACACCTTTAAGCCATGCCTGGGCCCATAGCAGTGTTGACACAGGTGAGGGAGGTGCAGGGTATGCTGACTACATGAAAGGTCTGACCTTCTGTCTCTCCTTTGCAAGTTCCTTCTGAGGTTACCTCATGCATATCAGTCTCTGTCTCCCTTCTTCCCTCCCTTCTGGACCTGGCCCAGACTTCATTTCATGATTTTGCTGAGGCCTTTGGCCCAATTCCCTTGGTGACTTTCTGGCTTTGATCTGGGCCCAGCACTGTTTGCACTAGTGGATCTATTCCCTGAATTAAAACCCTATTCTTCTCCAGCTGTGTTATCTCCCTCAGGGGTTTTGAGTTACTCCCAATAACTGGCACTGGGGGCAGCTGGGTGGTACAGTGGATAGAGTGCCAGGTCTGGCCAGAGTCAGGAAGATCTGAGTTCAAATCTAGATTTAGACACTAGCTGTGTGATTCTGGGCAAGTCACTTAATCTCTAGCTGCCTCAATTTCCTCATCTGTAAAATAGGGATAATAGCACCTAACTCCAGAGTTGTTGTGAGGATCCAATAAGACAGTAATTTTAAAGCATTTAGCATAATGCCTGGCACATAGTAAATGCTATATAAATATTGTTATCGTTCAGTCTTGTTCAACTCTTCATGATCCCATTTGGAGTTTTCTTGGCAAAGACAATGGAGGGGTTTTCCTTCTCTAGCTCATCTTATAAATGAAATCACCTAACTACCCTACATAAATATAAGCTAATATTATTATTATTATTATAATTAATAGCACCTAACTTCCCAGTTTGTTGTTAAGATCCAATATGATAATTATAAAGTGCTTAGCAGAGTGCCTGGGACATAGCAAACACTAAATAGCGGCTACAATTATTATTATTATTATTATTATTATTAGTGTGACCTTAGACAAGTCACTTCACCTCTGTTTGCCTCAATTTCCTCAACTGTAAAATGGGGATAATAATGAAACCTTATTCCCAAGGTGGTTGTGAGGATTCAATGAAAACTGTAAAGCATAGTACCATATAAATGTTAGTTATTATTATTATTATTATTGAACTGGTGACTCTTACTTTAATCTCCCTGGGCTTCAATTTCCTCAAACGTAAAAAAAGAAATGAGGGGTCGGTTCTAGATCTAAGATTATATAATTTAGAAAAGTATTAGAACATCATTCTTGGCACCTAGAATTTGAACTCAAAGAACCTGGGGTAAAAATCTTGTTCTACTACTTACCATCTGGGTGACCTTGGACAAGTCACTTAACTAATCTCTCTTAATAAAAAAAAATAATAATAAGTTTAATTAAGAAACAAAACGCCCTCCCCTTCCAGACAGCTGCAGTGGGTCCCAGGAAGGCATTTCCGAATAGCGAGGGGTACCCGCTACCCCGCCGCAGCCAGAGGACAGGGAGGCGGGGCCTGGTCACGCCCCGCCCCCTTTACGACAGGCCGGATTGCGTCGCCCAAGATGGCAGCGCCCAGGGCACCGGCAGCTGCCCCAGCAGCTCGTGCACCGGCGCCAAGGCGGAGGTGCTGAACTGGCCGACGGCTAACCTGCGCTTTCCTGGGCCCGTCCCTCCGCCGGAGCCTCTGCAGCCGCTCCGCGCCCCAGTCCTGCTGGCGCCGGAGCCATGAGCCTGCGGGAGCTGCTGCGCCGGCCCCGGTGCCCCGGAGTCCCGAGCGCCCTGTGGCGGACGCGCCTGCGGCCGCCCCCCGCGCCCCGACGCAGCCTCTTCTCGGGATCCCCGACGCACTGGAACCAGGTGGTGTCGGAAGCGGAGAAGATCGTGGGCTACCCGACCTCGTTCATGAGCCTCCGCTGCCTCCTGAGTGACGAGCTCAGCAACATCGCCATGCAGGTGCGCAAGCTGGTCGGGACGCGGCATCCGCTGCTCAACACGGCCAGGTGAGCCCGCGCGCGCGCGCCCCGCCGAGCTCCTCCCCGCTCGCACCTGGGCGTCCGCTCGCCGTCTGCTGCACCGCGCGCTGCTTCGGCCGGGCGCTCGTCTCCAGTCCTTCCCGGGCTGGAAGGCTATGCCTGCCCATCCTTGGAGTAACCCTCACTCATCTGGGAGCAAGCTAGGCAAAAAGAAAAAAAAAGGAAGCACACGCACAAAAAACTCTCGGTTCCCCTTCGTTATTAGTGCCTTCTTTTTGAGACCGCCTCTAATTTATTTTTTGTACATAGTTCTTTGCACCTTCTCTCTCTTCCGTCCTCTCCTCCTCCCCTCCCGCCGTTAGATTGTGAGCTCCCTGAGAGCAGGGACTGCTTTTTGCCTCTCTTTGAATCTCCCCTGCTTTGCAAAGTGTCTGGTACATCATCCAGTTCTGTCTGACACCGTGACCCCTCCAGGGGTTTTCTTGACAAAGATACTGCTGTGGTTTGTCCTTTCCTTTAACAGATCATCTTACAAATCAGGAAATTGAGGCAGACAAGGTTAAGTGACTTGCCCAGGGTCGCACAGCCAATAAGTGTCTAAGGTCAGATTTAAACTCAGGTCTTTGTGATTTCAGGCCCAGGATTCTATCCACTGAGTCACCTAGCTGCCTCATGTGTATGCCCGTCACATAGTAGGTGATTAATCAGTGCTGGTTGACTGACTGATGTTGAGAATCTTGTTCCTTCAGGGCCTTGCTTAAAAGGCCATTTCATGAAGCCTTTCCCGCCCTCTCAGCTGAAAATGATCCTTGTCTCCTAAAAATGTCCAGAAACGTTTTGACTGGATCTCCCTTATTCCATGTGTTATGTTTATTTGTGTGCATTTTATATTTCTGAGCTCAGGCTGTCTGCAAAGAAGGAGTTGTATGAAAGTTTTGGAAGAAAGTTGGCTCCAACATGAGCCCCTGTGGGCTTTTCTTTGGTTTTGCTTTTCTTTGTATCCGCAGTGCTTAGCACAGTGCCTGGAACATCGAATTGCATTTGTCCTAGATTTTACAAAATATTACATGCTCCCTCAATTGAGGGGTTTGGAGAAGATAAAGGGGAGAGGAGGAGAGTTAGGCTCATCAGGCATTTCACTTTATCACCTGCAATTCCAGTTATCAGTTCCTCAGACTATTAAGAATTGGAAAGAATCTAGTCTAACCGTCTTCATTTTACAGATGGGGAAACAGTTCCCTCTACCAATGAAATCACAGGTTCATTCCTTATCATCTAATAGTATCATAGATTTAAAGCTGGAAGAAAATCTAGAGATCACTAGTCCAGTACTGTCATGGGGAAACTGAGGTCACGGAGGGTAAATGACTTGCCCCAAAACACAGTGTGACACAGTCTAGGTTTAGACTTGGGCCGTACCCGGACTCCACATACTGGAGTTTGTAGTTAACTCCAAACCTAGCACTCTTAGCTGTACCGTGCAGTTTCTTTGTTGCATGTCAAGATCACTTTTAAAAATACTACCTTAATAGGGAAAGGGCTATATTTTCTCATGTTCACGTACCCCTTTTACCAGTGTAAATGGAAACTCTCTCTAAAGTTCCATGAGTTGCTATGGCCCAGAAAGCTATCATTGGATTGTCTGTGGAACTTCCTAGTGATGAGCCTCCTTGACCATTGATAGGTTGGTCTTTGGACTTATAGTCGGTGGCTGAGCATGTACTTCAAGCCTCCCCAGATTGGTGTAGGACCTGCCTGCCTAGTTTGTTCTTCACTGGCTTAGTCTTTAAGAACTCAGCGTTATTGCAATGCCATGATAAAGCAGCCAAATAGAACATTAGTGGAGAAACCTCCATTTGACTCTCTAGAGTCAATTATTGATTTACTTGCTGCCGAGAGTCACTTTCTTGAGAAAGCGTCAAAAAGAAAGACAAGAGAAACTTAATTAATTAATAAGTTATTTCTTAAATTAATTTTTTTAACTAACAAATTTATTTTCTCTTTCCCTCTCACTTCCCACCCCTTTGAGTGGGTGGGTGGAAACATTCCTTGTAACAGGTAAGTATAACTGAGCAAAACAGATTCCCTCATTGGCCATGTTATATGCAGACATACATACACACACACATATACATACACATATGTATGTATACATGTGTGTGTATACACACATCTTATACTCTGGATCAATCAGCTCTTTGTGAAGAGGCGGGTAGCATTCTTCATCTTTGGTGCTCTAGAATCATTGATGGTCACTGCATGGATCAGAGTTGTTACAGCTTTCAAAGTTATTTGTTTTTTACAGTGTTGTTAGTTGCATATAAAGTGTTCTGGTTCTGCCCATTTCATTCTTCATCAGTTTATACAGGTCTTCAAAATTGTTTATGTTTATAATATTGATATAATGTAAATTGTTCTGATTCTGTTCACTTGACTGCATCTGTTCATACAAGTCTAATCAAGGAGTTAAATGATCTAATCAAATATTATTTACATACAGTTATCCCTTGCACATTGCACCTTTCTCCATTGTGGTTGCCATAAGAAATTACATGGGAACTTTGGGGAGAGTTTTGTGGAAGCCACAGACAACACAGAAAAAGTTCAGAAACTCGGAAATGCCTAAAATATATATATGGTATTGTATAAGGTCAACACATTTCATCTTTCAATACCATAATAATTTAGACTTCTCTGGTAGGAAGGAAGGGCCGAAAATATTTACAAGGATTTTCAAGGTCACCTGAGGGGGGGGGGCCCACAGCATAATTTTAAATATTTTTGAAAGAGTGGTTTTGGGAACTTTCAGAAAAGTGACATTTATTAAACTATACTCATGTTCTGTCTCACTAAAAGCTATTAAGCTTTGAAGTGGAAATAAGTTTTAACTTTTAGATAATTACACTAAGCAATAAACCTATAATGTAACTGGAAAAAATGGTGAAACATAGTGTATATCTATTGCCTTGTTGGTAAATCTAATTGTAAGAATCAAATGACTAGAGGCAAAAGTTTCATTTTAAGTACTCTAGTTTTTAATAATTGCCGGTAATTTCATTCAACCAACATTTTGCCATTTTGTTCTTGCAAAATGTTGCAAGATTTTTTTTTGTGTATTTAGTACAGCTCTGCAATGTGACTGAAAAAAACCTTTTTAAGGCATTTAAAAAGTGAACAGATTTATTGTTTAATTGTTGCCTTGTGGTGCCTTTTTAGTGGTAGATTCCTGAAGGTCTGTGTATAAGGTTATAGTTAACATCTTAATAGTTTGGACCGTAGGATCCTAATCCATAAATTTTGAAACAAAGTGTTTATATTTACTCTTTGTTTCTCAAATGACTGAGCTTACTTCATTTCTGAAATGAGTAAAATTGTATTGATTCCTTCCCTATATAATGTAAACCAAATTATAAACATTTGAATAGTTTAATAATGCCAGATTGAATTCAGAATTATTTATAGTTTTGTTTTTATAATTTTTCAGATTTGTATAACATAATATTTGGAAATAATTTTCAGTCTCTTAACACCATTTAATATGAAATTTTGCTACACACTATGCATGAAGAACTAGATTACATTATCAGTGCTTATGATTTTCACAATCAGAAGTCAAACCTATATCTTGTAGGAGGGCAAAGATAATCTGCTTTTAAATCTACATGTTAGATAGTCACATGTAAACTGGTTCAGTAAAATTGCAAAATCATGCAGTAAAATCTGCCTTGCATAAATACCACATTTGCTGGTCACCAGGGTCATTTCTTTTATCAGCATCTTGGCAAGCTTAATAGGAAAAAAGACCTCTAGGAAAGCCTACTACTTACCTCGTGCTTTATCCTACCCACTTGTCTACTCAGGGAACTTTCTCCCATCCACCAAAGCCTTTCTGCCAAGAAAAGGAAAAACAATACATATTTCAGTTGATAACAGTTCCCAGATCTTTCTTGGACAGATGATAATTATGTCATTTACAACAATGTAGCAATTAGCTGATTGTTTTCCCCTTGTTCTTTTAGGTGTTAAATATCTCTCTGTAGTGTACATTTCCAATTAGGTGTGCAAGTCCTCATTAATCTATCACATGTTTGAGTGCCCACTATTTGCAAATCACTGTAGGAAATACAAAGACCCATTAGACACTGTTCTTGCCCTGAAGGAATTTATGGCCTGTTTGGAAAGATAAAACACTTACAGGTAGATACTCCAATTGAATTCAACAAGTTTATTTAGCCTGCCACGTGCCAGAGACCTTGCTGGGTGCTGAGGTTGTAGAGGCAGAAGTGAAACCATCTTTGCCCTCTAAGTTACATGATGTAGGGGGTGGGAGGGAAAAGGAGATAGTGTGTACACAGAAATAAATCACACACACGTATACATACATATACATATTATATATTATAGATATAGATTTATTTATCTGTGTAATACACATGTATGTAGATTGTATCAATCTGTATACATGTATGTATTTTCTATGTATGTGCACATGCGTGCGCATATGTGCATGTGTGTATAACACGCAAAGTAATTTTCAGGTCTGGAGGTGGTATAACAGAAACACCAACAACTAGGGAAATCAGCCAAGGTCTCTTGTAGGAGGTGGTAGTTGAGGTGAATCATGAAGGAGACTAGTGGCATTAATACAGGTGATGACAGCACTCTGGGCAATATTCTATACAAAGAACAGAGATGGAGAGTCAGTGACAAGAATGGAGAGCAGCAAGCAGGCTATGGTGGCTGAAATCTACAGTGAATGCGAGGGAATAGGTATAATCAGCCGGAAAAATAGGTCGGAGTCAGAATGTGGAAGGTACCAAAGCAAGCAGTCTGTATTTTATCTTAGAGACCACAGGGAGCCAGTGAAGCATCTTGAGCAGGGGAATGATGTGGGCAGACTTGAGGAATGTTGATTTTATTTGGCTGTGTGAAGGATGAATTGGAGAAAGCATTTGCTAGAGTGAAGGAAATCTAATGAGGAAACTGTCATAAAAGTCCAGAAGACAGGTGATAAGGACCTGAAAGGG